CCCCAAAACCCCAAAACCCCAAAACCCCAAAACCCCAAAAGATAGCAACCTGGTTGAAAATTATATTGTAATTGAGATAAATGGGAAGTGAGTTTAGTGCATCCTCCTACTGAGGAACCGACCAAGGGACTGAGTTTGAGCAAAGAAAGATAACAAGGAGAAGAGGCAAGCTATTATATGAGAGAAGAAGACAAACAATCAATAAGAAGGTTCATATTCCAAAACATTATACCAAAAAGAGTCCTTCACAAGTCTTGGAGAAGCGATCGAAAATGCCTGTGATACCAAACACATTACAGACCAACTCTAAAGTGTAGATCTAGATTTGAAGACAAACTTTTTATTTACTTTAGAACTAAGATTTTGTGTATTTGGAATTTGTTTTAGGGGCTTAAGGATTTAGAAAGTTGGAGAGTGGAAAGTTGGTTTGGTTAGACTTCGTTAGGCTTTTCAATGTTAAGAGAACAGGTAAGGAGAGGGGAGAGAAGGAATAAGAGATTAGATAGATTTTCCATGGGCTGGAGAAAGGTGGTGTCTTTACATTATAGATAATCCTGGCGATGATTTCGAACTCATGATCCTTGAATAAAGGAGGAAAAAGTATCAAAGAGTTTATAATGAGGGTCTATAAATAACCAAGGATGCATACCTCAGCAATTGTGATGCCGTTTACCTACAAAGAGTAATCAGGAGGTAGATGTGGCTCTGAACATAACAAGAGCGCCCAGGTTGGAATTCTATTAACTGTTCTTCAGTTACCTCCACTACAATTGAAAAAGAAAATATGGAGGAGGAACAAGAGCACTCAGATAGAATAAAACAGAATTTATCCCGGAAAATACACTTAGAGGAATGCGAGGAATGGGATAGAGATGGATTCACTGTACCAAGTTTGTACCTGACGTTTGGGAAAGGGAGAATTATAGATATATCGAAAATAATGAAGCCATTTGGGTATTTTAACTGCAGAGAACTTACATTTGAGAAGGTAAGAAGGAATAAACAGCATTTTAGAAGGTTTCTGGAGTGTACGTTTCCTGATAAGGTGGAGAAATTTTATTTTATTTCTAATGTTGGGAGTTATTATAGTATTTCTTACTATTTCAAACAAATAATTGGGGTAAGCCCAAAAGTTCTCCAAGAGATAGCCTTTGTTGGAATCGCTATAACTCTAGACAATTCAAGAGATTACTCACTTGTTACAAGCATGTAAAATCTTTCATATGAAGAGCTTGCTTATTATCCATTCCAAGTATCATTGACTTCTCAAGGGCTCTCAAAAACACCAAAATTGAGGAAATAGATTTGTTTGCTTCATCAACAACAACAGATGGTTATTTATCAAATACTGTAGAAGGATTTTATAACTTGATACGAAGCCTTGGGACTTCAGCCGACCTCAAACTGACTTTGCAGGCATTTCTGCTGGGAGACTGAGAAACCGATACTGAAAAGACCAAAGAACTACTGTTTCAAAATGGATTTGGAGCAATTTACTTTGACACTTAAAATCCTCTGGGCATCTTAACTTTCAATAGACATTCATAATCTCGGGGTTTTGGGGTTTTGGGGTTTTGGGGTTTTGGGG